GAAAGCAAAATTATTTTACCAGTGTTGGCTTGGGGTATTACTGAAACCAGGTTTTGTGTCTGCAAGGTATACAAGACTGGGATATATTCACTTAGCATTTAAAGGGAGAAGAAAGACAAATAATTCTTTATCAATGTCTGAAATTAAAAGTGCATGCAAATTCATACAGTCACAGGAAGCTGGATTAATGATACCAGCAAATGGAAATATGGTGCCCAATATAAAACTCTCTAGATAAAACAGAATAAAGACTATTGTTTCTTACTGAAATATATTTTGGCTGCTGTGTATTTTACATTTAATTTTACGGTGCAGAAGACATTACTGAAAGAACAGCTTTACTTGCTAATTTTCTTGTTTGGTAGAGCTGATGTATTAAAAAGGTTAATGTACTAAATTTACGTTTTTCTACACTGATTATTTCTTACTCCAGTAATCTCTTTCCTTCCTGATTCCTAACCTCTTTAAAAAGAAGCAATATAAAATAGGACTTCTTTTTGACAGTTTTAGACAGAAAACCTTACTTTCCCTGCCGATTTTCATGCTCTACAAGCTTTGCTATCATAAACCACTTTGCATGTATTAAGAAGGAGTATTATATTAGATGAGGCAATTTAAGTGTATCCCATTTCACTTGGTGAAACTAAGCAGCTTTGCATTATAACTACGTTGAGCTAATGAGAATATGCTTGAAGCGTGTGTTACCTGGAACTGAAGTTAGCTAGTCATTCAATACTGCAACCTGTGAGTTTGCAAAATGATGGCAGGAATCCTGCTGTGAGGGAGATAGGAAAATTATTATAATCTGCATTCCTAAATTGAATGAGTATTTTGCTCAGCAGAGGCCTCTTGACTGCAAATAGTCTGAAATTACATCCTGCGGTTTAAAATGCTGCTTTTTTTTTTTTTTTCAAAGTGAGTAAAAATGCCCACATTTTCCTAAATCAAATATTTTTTAAATCATATGTGAGTAAAATTAGTGAGAAATGGGAAGTCATATATCCTTCATTTCCTCTTGTAAAAGTTATATGATATTCAAGTTTTTGAGAGCAGGAACAAAGTGTTTAGAATTCATGGTTTTATACTTTTGTCTTAATTATTTAATTATTAGATGGATAGGCTTATCATCATATCTCCCCCATTCCTCACTTATTATTAAAAAAATTCCATGTTTACAAGTTTCTCATGGTTTAGAAAAGTAAACTGTAATATGCATATTTCATCAGAATCAGCTACTAGAGTGTGATGCTCAACGTATTAGTAATCTAAAACTCATATGAAAAGTATCCAGAAAAGACTATCCAAACATGAGCAAAAGACTATGAAGCAAGCAAAGGGAATAAACTTCCCTCACAAGAGTGACATGGAAAACATAACTTAATTCATGCAAATTCTTCATCTCAGTAAAGCTAGAAATGGTACCAAAAACAAAGAAAGAAAAAGGCCTGGGGATAAGTATTAGAGATCATTGTAGTTGTTTGAACAATTGTGTTCTACTGTGTAAAAACAACAAATACTGCAAATACTTTGCATTGCATCCTGCCTGGGAGTCCAAAATGAAAGAGGAGGTGGATCAGCTTCTCTTTCTCAAATTCTCTGTCCTTTAAGTAGTGGACAGTGAAAAGGTTAAAGATAAATGAAGATGATGGAGCTACTCGTACGGACATCAGTGCTCCACATCTAGCGTCAGAGGAGGCTTCAGCTTTGTGTCACTTTGTTGTGTGCAGGCTTGTGAGTTAAACACACCAGGGGTAATTCTCTCACCCAGAGTGTGTGTGACCCAGTCTCTCCACTCCAAAACTAGGTGGCCGTATTCTTAGCTGTTTCCCAGAAACTGTGCCTACCCTGTGTTGCTCCCCGAACTCTACCCTGGCATTGCATGGGATTGTGGGGCAAAACCATGCTAAAGAACATGTGAACAGATGGGATGGATGAGCAGGAGCTAGGGATCAAACTCACACCCAAGCCCTATTTTGCTGCTATAGATAGATATACAAAGCTTTAGGTTTGCTGATGAGGCATAATGGTTGAGAGGAAGATGCAGTTACTCTTGTGTGAAAGATGGTTCTCAGGAGACTCAGCAAGTCAAGCAAAGGTGATGACAAGGGCAGAGACAGATCTTAAATGCAACCCTTTTTCCTGGAACTTAAGGGACCTTATGCTGAGTTGCAGTCGTGTTGATTTGGATGAGGATTCACAGCTCTGACCTACTTCTGAAGTGGTGGATAGATCACTTTGTTTTTCCTCCTCACAAAATATATCTGACAGAAGACTTTTATTTTTCCTGCACATTAAGTCAATCTTCCAAGACGTGGAAAGGCAGAATTCAGTCTTCCCCATGTCAGGGGACTCTCTTCCCACCCTCTGGGAGGAAGTTGTAACCTTCAGGACTTAGTCTGTATGCTGTATGCTTAGCAGAAAATCTCCAGGATCAGTTTTAATTCTGGGGTTATGCTAAACGTTCCCACTTCATAAGCCATCATATCTTTTTTTTGTGTCCTTCTTCATTAAATGAGCGAAGTTTCTTTTAAGTTAATACGCTAGGTACTCATTTCAGTATAACCACCCTTTATTCATTCACATCAGGGTCATTTCTTACTTTTACTACCTAAGCTTCTGCAGGCCTTGTGGATAACCCTAGATGCATTTGTATTCTTGCAAAAAGTAAAAGTCAGTAACAAAATTCGTCATGAAAAATTTGGACAGGTGAAACTCCACTGGATTTTCAGCCATTCAGATAATATAGGTCTTTTTTTTTTTTTGATTTGCATTGTTTAAATGAAAATATCTACTACCTATCAAAGAAAGTTTGGTCTCTAATCTATCAAATAATGCTTGTAACATTTTTCATATCATAAAGTACAAAATCCATGAAACTGAAGAATAAAACATTTTCTGGTGTAATTTTCCATCCAAATTTATATTTTTGTGTTAATGCCATGTGTGTTTTAGCAGCAATACTGTAAGAAAAATGAAAGACCTGTAGGATCTTCCAGCATTACCTATCCTAATACAGCAAGGCTCTGTCAACAATTGTACTGAATTTGCAGAACCTGTAATCCTCTACGTTATATATATTTAACAGTCCACACAAATACATATTATACAAATCCCTCCAGCAGAAGTACAAACATGCATGCAGTGAAAGGAGGTGGAGTTCACAACACTTCTGACATTTGAGCTCTGCAATGGCATGAGATATTCACCCCTTAGTTCTGTATTTGTATAAAGAGATGTAATTTTATAAAAAGCAGTCTACACATTAAAGCTACAATATATGCCCTATACGAATCTTACTTTCTTGGAAAATATTTAGGTATTGCAGTGAAGGCACCACACAGAACTAGCATAGCTCTCCTTCATATGGAAATCTTTGCAAAATCTTGCAGCTTCTCTAACCTTCTGCTTTTAAATGGAGTCCGTATTTTCATATCCATGTTCTTGTTCCTACTGAACTGTGTTACAAAAACTGTCAGTAACTTCAATAGAACTTAGATGAAACAAAACTGTATTATTCTTTTTTTTTTTTTTTTTTTTTTTTTTTTTTTTTTTTTTTTTTTTTTTTTTTTCCCCTCCTCTTCTTCTATCTGGACTAGACATTTGGTGCCAACAGAGAAACAATTCCTTTTGATGAGGGATGATATTTTTGTCTTCTATTTACTTTATACAGGGAGTAAGCATTTAGAATGCAAACAGAGATGCTAGCTAGGGTAGCAGACAGAAAGAGATTGATTAGAAAGCTATTATTCAGATGATATCACTAGAATCCCTCCACAAAAATGGGAAAGCAGAACTCAATTCATGTAGTTCTAATTGCATCAAGTTGAGCTCCATCCATTTGAGCCAGTAGGTTTCCTGAAACCATTCTAATTGGTTGTGGAGATATTTAATAAGAACAAATAGTATTTGTAGAGCTAATTATTTTTTTAAAAATGGCCAAATCCAATAAGATGAGATTGACAGAGTAAAACTGAAAAGAATTTTGCCCCCCTCCTCCCTCAAATCCAGACAGAGCAATGATCCTGAATATTCTGCAAAAGGTGAAAAGCAGATGGCAATCATAGAATAAAATCAAGGTTACATGACTGTTCACTTCTCTGCTGCACGTAGCATTATTCACATCATTATAAACATAACTTTTTTTTTTTATAATGTTATGGTTGGTGCTGAAAATTCTGATGTATCTTTCTGATCTTGCTACTTTCCTTGTCAGTTATGTGTCTGAGACGTGACTTGATGTGCACATATGCCCACACACATTCCACCACCTTTCTAGGCATGTGTCTGTTTGCAGAAATGTTTCTTCTACATTTTTGATCATACCACAGCAAAATGATTTCAGTGAATTGCCCTGATCAAAGGTGATTTCCTGAGGTGACAGAGGGGTGACACAATAATATCCCTAGATTACATAATATTTTAACAGAAATCAAGCGATAGAAAAAACATTTTATTAAAATCTCACAGGTTCCAGAAAGATAGCTGCATTTAGGAAGAAATTATTTTTTTTCCAACATTACATATGTCTTCGGCATTCCCCCGAAGCCCACATGCCATCTAGAACAACGAAGCACACAGATGGACAAATATCTACCCCCTCATCCCTACTGACTGTAAACGAGGACCATCTTGTGAATAGAGGTAAGTAGGATAGTCTTCTTGTTCCCTTTTTACCAGTCAAAAATCAGTGTGATTGTAATGCACTAAACCCAAGCTTAGAAGAAATACCACAAAAATGGCTAATGGCAATCAAGCTCAGAGCATGAGTAGAGCTTGATTTGCCAGCCAGCAAGTCATTTAGAGGGCTTTAAGTTGAATCAGTTCACTAAGTACATTTATTCCATGGCAGGTAAAAGCATGATCTCAACTATATATGTGATGTCAATCACCATTTTATCCACCTGTGGCTATATTTAAGCAACAAATTGAAACACAGTCTGCACTGCTAATGGTTAAATGAAACAGTCCTGAAGCTTCAGGCTTTTAAGGAATACACTAACCTTTGTGTCCTTACGCACATCCAGAAAGTCCAGTACATCTACTTTTGACGAAGAACATTCAGGAAGAATTTAAGTCATCTGTTCCAGTCTCAAGAAGACTTTAGTGGTTACAGAAAAGAGCGGTGAAGGAATAAAGCAACTCCAGGTATGCAGTTGGAAAGATCAGACATCTCTGCTGAAATGATGTACAACTCGCCGAGCCTGTACAAAAAGAGAGGACGCTTGTTGCATATTTGAAAATGAAAACAATAGAAGAAACACTCAGTCTCCCTCCTTAAGACTGAAAAGAAATCTTGTGCAGCAGGGCCCCAGAGGTAGTGCTTGCCAGGTCATGTTTTTGAACATACTGTCTTAGTATCTTGTAAACATTGGCAGCCTGGAATCTGGAGCGCAGGTTAGGGAGGAAGGGGAAGGAAAATTACAGCAAATGTGTTTCACAATAGTGAGCCTCAAACAAAAACCATTCCAAATAACAGAGAATTGTAAATTTCATGTGCTTTAAGAGGGCTACAGCAAAATAATGTTAAATATTTACTGGCAAGAGGCGAAATACTGCATGTGCTACTGCTGCTCCACTGTCTTTTGCCCTTGACATTGACCAGAAGTGTAATTTACAGCCATTTGTAAATCATTGGAAAAGATACTTTTATACTGAGAACAATGCCAGACCAATCTGGAGAAAATGTTAATAGTATTTAGTGGGAATTATTTGACTATTCTTGTCTTTTTTCTGCTTTCTGTTGGTGTTTTGTTTGTTTGTTTGTTTTTTAAATAATCCTATTTATGCCTCCATGTTGAAGGAATGGGACACAGACACAAACAGGAATATGGCATTGAATTGCAAACCCTGTACTATGATTTCTAGTTTTAGGCATGAACATATCTACTTTCTTTCAAAGTAAATCAAACCCAAGGAATCTGGAATACAGTTAAGCCCTCAAAATCATCAATGCCAATGTGACCTGCCAAAAGACATTAACTCTGTAATTATTCTGTTAGTCAGGAAAAAATACTTCTGAGTGGAGAAGCAGAATTAAATCAAAAGGATTCTACAGAAACATCACAAAGAATGGCCCGTTTGAGCACCTTTCGGTATTGTCAGAGTCTAACAAGTGCAATGCCTTTGCACACTTGTTGTTTGCACACACCAAATGTTGTTGGTTTACATTTGATGCACCAATAAAAGAATGTAGAAACATACAATGCAGAAGCTGCAGAATTTAGAATAACTCTAAGAAAACAGCAGCCATCCTTTCTTTTCAATGGAGTGTTTATTTCACTACATAATTTCCATCTACATTATATAAGCTACTTACTTGGCTCAAGAGCTGTTTACTTCCGACTGCTGTTGCCTGTATGATACGTGACTTACTTTGCTGAATTATTTGTTTTTCCATCAGAAACATTTATTTGTTAATAATTTATTGATTAAATGTCTTCCGATTGAGCAATTTAAAAAATGTAGGCAAACCAATGGCAAAAGACACCAAGTAGCATATTATAATGATACAATAATTTGAGCTCATACATTAGACTAAGCCGATAATGTCCCAAAAGCCCTCTTTTGATAGCTCAGTTTCACAGAATAAATATTCAGCTAAAATAAGTAAAGAAACCATCTCAACTACTGCTCTGTGAAATCATGCTGGTATCACGAACAATATCTTTGAAAAGATAATAGGTTGGCTCCAGAAAACAAACAAACAAGCAAAAAAAAAAAACCTACAGAACTTAACTGCAAGTTAAGTATACATGGAAATGAGATTAACAGTCACTTGAAGGAGACAAATGAACTCCTCTCCCAGGTGTGTGAATGGGACTTTGGAAATCAGAAGGGTCTGATTCCTTTGATGTCAGAGATACTGGAGGTTCAGATTGTAGCATTGGATCCAAAGTGTTTGCCATCAGTCGTATGTGCGAGACAGACGGTGAGAGTAGCAAATGTGATAAACCCTTTAATAGGAAGCTGTCAAGGGCTCTTATCACAAATAAGTCATGGTCTGAGTTACTGAATTTTCAGCTAAATTGATCACAAGGCAAATAAAATGTATTCTAAGGGCTGTGCTTTGACAATCTTCACTACCTTTGAGGTTTTAGAGAAAAGTCAGGAGATTTGAAAACACTTTTGGAGGAAAGCTGCATATACACGTTTTCCCTTTTTCCTATAAATGCATTACACATATTAAATAACTTATTTTTTTCCAGCACAGTAGTTAAACTCCCTAAGAATAATGTTGCTGAAAGTCCTATCATTTTGTAGGCATCCTGTAATTGTAGAATGGACTGGTTTCCCATCAGACTTAAGGAGACCAGTCAATAATGTGTTGACAGTATGTACACTTATTTATAAAATGGATAATGTTAAGTTTAAATGAACACACATATACTGCCAAGAATAGATTGTTTTCAAACTTAGTAATAGATAGGATTTCTCTGCTGTTATTTGATGAAATCTTATATTGATTATAAACAATAAGTTTCAAGGATGACAGACCTACCAATAAAAACCACAATTCAAAATGCAATATATGCAAATATCAATATATGTAATTATATATAATGATCACAAATGTCATCAATTTATTTACTGTAAACAGTTTAACTGAATACATATGAAGTGAAAAATCAAATTAAGTGAGGTAACATCATTTTTTTTTCTTATTTGATTTCTAATTTAACTCTTTTTTTTTTTTTGTGCTAATGAGAACACTGCAGATTTTTGTTTCATGACTGATGTGCATTTACCTGTTCTACCTAAGACCAGATTCTTTGGCCAATGTGTCCTTTCAGATTCCATGGCCAGGATCCCATTCCATGCCCCACAAGAGGTCAAAACGACATGACAGATCCAACCACTTTTAATTCTTTCCCAGAGCAGGATTCCTTTCAACAGACTCCTTTTCATGTAAGGATGCTAGCATTATTGTCAACACTATTAACCAGTAAGTTGTGTCACTCTTTTTGCACAAAAAAGACTTTTAGCTCCTTTCTTTATAACCTGGATATGCTCAGACATATCCAGGGGCTTTATCAATAGAAAGGAAGCAAAATTTTTAAGGATTCAAGCAGTTCCTGCATGCAAAGCCTTAGCCACTGTTTTGGCCCATGAATTGCTATTGGCTCCTGGTCCTCTGACTGTTCCCACTTGCCTCATGTTCCTTTGCTCCTGAGCTCCCTTTTGAAATGACTTGGTGGGTTCCCCATATGTCCTGGGCATCACCCTGGCCGTAGTTCACATGGACATCACTCCCTGTAGGCAGTAGGGACTAGAGTTTGCCAGGCACGACACCTTCTGTCCTACACAGTTGTTCGGGCATAACCCATCCAGCTGTGGTCCTCGCATACTCCCACATACCCTTATGACACATCTCCTGCTTCTCCTCCCTTCGCTTAGTGGAGAGACAGGAGGAGAGGAGGATTAAACAATAAGAAAATAACCAATTGATGTAGATGTGTCATTCCTCTCCATTAAGAAAGCAAACCCCTTACTCAGCCACTCGATGACTTAAAAGCATTTCAAAAGCTCATTGAATTCAAAGCAGAGGATATTGTCTCTCATTAGAAACTATTCAAGAGGAGTCACCTGCGTTCCATTAAAGGTTTGCACTGTTCCAGGATGAGATGGTTCCCACTCCTACCAAGGGCAGCTAGACATGACATAACTGTGTGGCTGCACCAGTGTCCAGTATTTTGGATTCCCACTGCTAAAAATTGTAAGTCAAAGTACACCAGAAAGTAAGATCTGATGAAAGTTATGTTTCTTTTTTGTTTTTGTTTTTAATAAAGAACTTGAGTTGCTCTGTTGGTTTCCTTCTTTGAATCTGATATGTGCATTTTTGGTGTGTTTCAAGTACAAGAAAGCACTCTGCAAGAAATCTTATAAAAACAGATGAAAAGATGAGAGTCTCCTGATTCTGGAAAGGCAGAATTTAAAAAAAAAGAATTCTTTTTCTTTTTTTTTAGTTCAGAAAATTACAAGGAACTAAACACTTGTACATTTTAGAGAAGGACCCACTTCTTTTTTCACACACAAAAGTTAGTCTCCCTTAAATTATACACAAAACCTGGTCATGTGCCTACACCTAGTCCATTGCAATGTAAATAAAATAAATTATATTAAACCATGACAGTTGAATACATGCTGCTTCAACAGAGTGAGAAAGAAGGCACTAAATCTCAAAGGGTAGACATTTTTACTCATTTGCTTATCATTGTGATCTCTTGCAGTAGTAATTCGGAGGTAATTCTAAACACCAAAGGTCACTCAGACTAAGACTGAATGAACAATACTTCATTGTTTGGTTTTAGAGCTATTTTGAGCTAACACTCAGATATTGTAACTTAATAAGACAATAGTTAATGTGCGTCTTTTTAAAGAATTTAAAATCTCAGTATTTTAACTGAATGCTATGTAAAAGTTAAGGTGGATAAGAAGCAGCCAACTGGCTACATTTCCTTGTAGACAACCTATGTAAACAGCACAAGAGAGCAGCTATAGCTGCTTCCATGGCAGTAAAGAGGCTTGCCTGCCAGCAAGCGTCTGGCAGGTTCAAGTCACAGTCAGAGCGGATCCCTACAAATGAACTTGCCATGAATCCCATGAAAACACATACAGAGAGCTATAACTACATGACTGGGGACAAAGAAGAAAAAAAAAATAATTAAATACCTGAAATATCTGAGATTCTCACACAGATTTTCACCTCCTGGCTTCCCTCTGCTCAGTGAAAATCATTTTCAGAATAACCCAAAATTTCTGAGCTGATCTGAGCATCCATCCAACCCTGACAATGAGACTGCCCCAACTTCTAAGAAACCAGTGGCCTTAGGGCAGTAGCATTGGGAAGCCCTCGAGCACAGACCTGTAGAACTGACTGCGCGCAGCCCAGGAACTCTTGATGAAACCCGGGAGGAATTTCTATAGATTGCTTCTTTCACCTGCCAAATACGTACGAAGCAGTTACCCTCAGGGAAATGACTCTATTCTTGCAAATTTTGACGTGCCACGTATTACCTATTTAGCTGGTATTCAAAATGTTTTAGAGATGTGTGACACCATGGCATGTCATCACTACTGCCACGCCACCAAGTTCATCGCCAGGGTTTCAGTTCCAAGATCAATTTTGGTTGCAGGATGGAATGAATTTTAAGTGGCTTGATAATTTGCCACCAAAAAGCTGAATACTAGCAACCTGCATTTT